ATAATAATAATAATAATAATAATAATAATAATAATAATAATAATAATGGAAATACTGATGCTGTGATGGTCATTTCGAAAAATCCTTTCTTAGTGAGCACCTAGAAGCGAAGAGGAGGATACGGGCCAAATTTCAAGTTTGTAGGCTTTACGGTTCTGGAGATTTTGTGATGATGTGTGAGTGGTATTTCGCTTTTATATATATAGATGGCTCCAGTGATACAGGCAGTCCTCGATGTACGACCGCAATAGGGCTTGAAATTTTCACTGCTAAGCAAGACTGTGAGTTTTGCCCCATCTTACAGGCTTTCTGGCCACCGTTGCTAAGCTAAGTTGGTAACATGGTTGTTAAGTGAATCTGGGTCAGGAGGTTGCAAAAGGGGACCACGTAACACTGATAACAGATCATCAGAGTTGGAAGGGACCTTGTAGGTCGTCTACTCCAACCCCCTCCAAGCGGGAGACCCTACACCCTTTCTGACCGAGGGCAGTCCAGTCTCTTCTTGAAAGCCTCCAGGGATGAAGCTCCCACAACTTCCTAGGGCAACCTCTGTCCCATCGGTTGATTGTTCTGTCAGAAAGTTTCTCCTTATTTCCAGGCTGAATCTCTCCTTGTTCAGTTTCCATCCATTATTCCTTGCCTGGCCTTTGGTGCTTTAGAAAAGAGCTTGACTCCTTTCTCTGTGTGGCAGCTCACTGCAACCGTCATAAGTACATGCCAGTTGCCAAGCTTCTGAATTTTGCTCACGTGACCACGGGGACGTTGCGATGGTCATTAAGTGTGAAAAATGTCCATAAGTCACTTTTTTCAGTGTCAGTGTAACTTCAAACAGTTACTAAGTGAATGTTGTAAGCCAATGGCAACCTTGTAGTTACAATTTAGTACTTTTCAGCATTCGCGCACTCCTTGTCACTTTTTAGCAATTTTGTTTTTCTTGGACACAAAAAAAATCGTGCATTTATTTAGGTTCTGTTCATCTGCCCATCGCTGTCCTTCTCAAAAAATAATAATAATATCTGAACCATGTCTTCCAGCAGTGCCTCACTTCAGTCTCATTCAAAATCATTTCATCATTTTTATTTTCAGTTCCCTTCACCCTACTGGAGGCCTTGTTCGGCTCTCTTCATCCACTTCCAAACCGTTTTTTAAAAACGTCCATCAAAATCAAACAGCATTTTCTGTGCCATTTTTCATCCAAACCGTTCCTTGCTCTCAACTACATTTTCTTTTTTTGGGGTCATTCCTTATTCAATATGCACATGACTCAGTTTCAGCCGCACTCATTTTTTTCCCCCTACAATTATTCCCATGTTTTTTTTTTCTCACCCACAGAAATTCACACCTTCTATTCTACCAAGCCTACCTTTTCATATTTCTCATTAGTGTAATCCTACATGCTTTTTATGACATTGTATATAATCCATTCTTTTCACCTCTTGTCCCAAGCAGCTTTCACACCCTCTGTCCTTAACCATTTTCTATTTACTCTGTCAACCTATTTTTTAAAAAGTTCTATTTCATGCAGGATTATTCACTTCCCATGATTGTTCTACAGGCAGTCCTGCCTTCAGGTGTTTTGGAAAATAGGTAGGCCTCCCCTTTGCTTTTGTGGCAGGCCATCAAATATTGGAAGACTGCTATCACGTCACCCCTAGTTCTTCTCTTCGTTAAACTAGACAAACCCAGTTCCTGCAACCGTTCTTCATGTGTTTTAGCCTCCAGTCCCCTAATCATCTTTGTTGCTCTTCTCTACACTCTTTCCAGAGTGCTTTTCCCCCACTCATCCCTTCCTGAGCTTTTCGAGGCAGATTCTCCATCTGGGCAGTGTGCTGCTCCTGGGTGTAATGCCAAAGTTTGGCCATCTTGCAGGGAAGGAAGCCAAAGAATGAATTTTCCTTTCCTTTCCTTTCCTTTCCTTTCCTTTCCTTTCCTTTCCTTTCCTTTCCTTTCCTTTCCTTTCCTTTC